CAAAATAACAGCTGCTGGAGAGGGTGTGGCAAAAAGGGAACACTTCTACACTGTTGGTGGGAGTGTAAACTAGTGCAACCCCTGTGGAAAGCAGTGTGGTAATTTATAAAAGCTCTAAATATCAACCTCCCATGTGACCCCACAATCCCCCTACTGGGATTATATCCTGAAGAATTGAAATCACTCTATAAAAAAGATACCTGCACACGTATGTTTATCGCAGCATTGTTCACAATAGCAAGAACCTGGAAGCAACCATGCTGCCCATCAAAAGAGGACTGGATTTAAAAAACGTGGTACATATACACGATGGAATACTATGCAGCCATAAAAAAGAACAAAATCATGAATTTCGCAGCAACCTGGATGGAACTAGAGTCTATAATACTGAGTGACCTCTCACAGAAACAAAGATCCAAGTATCACATGTTCTCACTCATATAATGGACCTTGAACATCCAATATAATACTATAAGAAAATGACTGACAATAGTGGGAAACTATGGGGGGGAGGGAGATGGGATTAACGGTAGCAAACATCTGTCTGGGGATGGGGAAACCCCTCTTATCAACAGGGTGCCTGAACAAAACATATTTGTATACCTAACCCTTAACTGTACCCCACAATATCATAATAAAAAATATTGATTAAAAAAATAAAAAATAAATAAAAAATAAAAAAATAATGCTAAGTCCAAAAAAATAAAAGGACAGAGATGTGGCCATTTCAAAACTGGGGGGAAAAGATTCATAAACATTTGAGGAATTGCTAACTTCACAAATAATCAGAAGCAAAGACTTTTTACTTGTCAAACTTACCGGCTTAAAAAACAGTTAGACATCCATATTGCTAGCTGGGAATAAAACCTTCTGGATAACAATTTGGCAATTATAGCAAAAGCTCTGAGAAGTGATCATAATGATTCAACTTCTGGGACTCTATCCCAACTAACAATTGAAAATACAGAGAAAAACATGCACGAAGGTGTTCCTCCCAGCTCTAAAACTGGAAAAACTGGGAACAAATTAAAATTACATGGTAAAAAAAAAAAAAAAAAAAAAAAGATTTAAACAATTTATGACACATTCATGCAAGAGAATGTTATGTGGTTAATTTTTTTTTAACTAAGAATTTTGGAAAAGAACAAAAGTAGAAAAAATGTTTAATAATATGAAATTCTTTTTTGAAGGTCAAAACGGTTCATTATAATAATGGACGCAATTTTGTCACTTAGAATGAACTGTTAACATTCGATAAAATAAAAATGCTCATGTTGGAGCACTAAGTTAAAAAGGCAAGAATAAATTACATGCATAAATAAAATGTGTATATTTCGATGCACAGAGAAAAGGCTAGAGGGAACAAAACCAAAATGTTATTAACAGTTGACTGAGTGGGGAGTGTATATGGGATAGCTTTTCTTCTTTATATGCTAGTGAACTTTCCATATGTTCTACGAGGAGTATGTGGCAGGGTTAAAAAAGCAAAACCCAGAGCCATCCCTAAGGCAAAATGAAAGAAAGACCAACATGGAGATTTCTTTATATTGATCAAAAGCCAATCTTGACACAACATGATTGTTGTTTTTTCTAGGAAGTCAAAGCAATCATGAACCTATCTAAAACTTAGAAATCAAGGACAAATTCACAAGTCCACAATTATTGCAAGAGATTTCAAGGTTTATCTCAGTAGCCAACACATCAAGGATACAAAGGAGCCAAACAATCAGTAAAATTTATCTAAGAAATACATGTTGAATTTTGTATCCAACAAACACTGTTTTCAAAACGTGGAGCATTACAAAAAAGCAACCATATCACACAGAAAACCTAAATGCATGACAACAACAGAAGTCGTCTAAGTCACCATGCACTGTGGCCAGAGACCAGGAGTAAAAAGATAACAAAACAAGACTGCAAAGTGGAAATCACTGGATTAAAAGGAGTGGCAAAGCGCCGGGCTTGGTGGCTCAGCCTGTAATCCCGTGCCTTTGGGAGGCTGAGGTGAGTGGATTGCCTGAGCCCGCGGGTTCGAGACCCGCCTGGGCAGCTTGGCGAGACCTCATCTCTAGAATAAATAAAAAAAAAAAAAAAAAAAAAAAATGAGCGGCAATGAGAATACCAGGTGTCAAAATCTGCAATCTTAACCCAGAGCGTGGGGTCTCAAACACAAAGATTAAAAAATGAGCCCCCACAAAGGGTGCTAACACCAGCAGTGCTAGGGGTTGAACTGTGTCACCCCAAAACATATATGTTGAAGCCCCAACACACAGAACAGCACCTCAGAGTAGAAACGTATTTGGACATAGGGACTTTAAAGGAGTTAATGGTCAGGCATGGTGGCTCATGCCTGTAATCCCAGTCCTTTGGGAGGCCGAGACAGGAAGATCGCTTGAGGTCAGGATTTTGAGACCAGCCTGGGCAACATTGTGAGACCCCCATCTCTACAAACAACAAACAAAATTTTAAAAATTAGCTAAACACAGTGGCTTGTGCCTGTAGTCCCAGCTACTTGGGAGGTTGAGGCTGCAGTGAGCTACGATTATGCCACAGCACTCCAGTCTGGCAACAGAGCGAGACCCTGTCTCAAAAATAAGCAAACTAATTAATTAAACAAAAATAAAAGGGTTAATAAGTTAAGTGAGGTCACAGGGTAGGCCCTGCTTCCGTGTGACTGGCATCCTTATAAGAGAGAGACCACCAGGCATTTGGACGCTGCAGGAAAGGCCATGTGAGCACAGAGAGAAGGCGGCCACCTGCAGGCCAAGGAGAGAGGCCTCTGAAAAAACCAACCTTACCAGCATCCTCATTTTGGACTCTTAGCCGCCAGGACTGTGGAAAAATACATTTCTATCATTTAAGCCGCCCAGTTCTTTGTCATGGCAGGCCTAGCCAATGAATGCCCTGGGAGCCACCACAGGAAAGGCTATCGCCTAACGCCATACAATTCAAGAAGGGGAGGCCAAGGAGAAAAGCAGGAATTGCTCAGGCAGCTGTCCTATCATCCCCCTCTTCCCATGACCCACCCCAGAGACCGCCCTGGTGACACCAGATCTCCAAATGCTGCAAATCTGTAGAGAAGTGAACTGAGCACACTGCCTCATCTCTTCCTTTCTAAAACTGGGTCGGGGAAGAGAGCACAGAAATGGCTGCTGGGAGAGAAGAGTCTGAATGGGAGAGATGGAAACACCCAGGGCTGACTCTTTGACAGAGCGTGGGCTTTAGGCATACGAACGAGGTGACAAAAACTTGTGGGTGAAGAGTCCACAAAATCTCAGAGGACAGAGCGGTACAACCAGGGGCTGGTAACAACCAGACACGGCGTTTCCAGAAGCTGCCCGGGCAATATCCCTCCCTGCACTCAAATTATCAAGCCGCACAGAGAGTGCTGTGAGGATTAGGCTGCTTGCCGAACTGTCATCTTCCTGCAAGCAGGGGCTGGCACAGCTGCCTGTCACCGCCAGAGCCAGCACAGTCCGATGGGAACATGCTCTCTGAAGTCAGATGGTCTGGGTCTGAATCCAAGTCGCACTACTTACTGGCTATGTGACCCTGTGTCAGTTACTTATCCTCCATGGGTCTCAGTTTCCCCATCTGTAAAATGTTGTTATAAGGAATAAAAGGGTTAGCATAAGAGGCTTAGAATAGCCTAGTGCATAACAGGCATCATTAAGAGCTAGCTTTTGTTAATATCACCAGTGACCTTTACCCAAGGAGCAGCCTCATGAGGTGGCCATTGTGGGAAGGAGCATGGGGGGGTGCCCTACAAAGCTTTCACCACCTGTAGAGCCACGGCCACCATAAGCTAGACCACATGTGCTATTCCAAAGAAACTTTCCAATGCCAGTATCTCCTTCTAGGGACGAGGATGTGTCTGCTTACTCAGGGCACTGTAGTCAGTCATGCTGAAGTTCCATGTCTTGGTGTGAGAATCTGAAATAAAACAAAGGGGTGATGATTGTTGTTATAATTTGCACTTAGCACTCAATAAAAGCTTGTCTTCTGAATGAATGAATGGATGCCAAGTTCAAAACAGGTGAACGGCAGGCCCCCACTGATTTATGGACTCTCTGTAGAGGACTAATAGTCAATGTAGATCAGTCTTTTATCTCAGGTAGTAGAATTCAGCTCAGACCCTGGGAAGTTATAGACTTCACCTAAGAGGGCTGAGGGCAGAGTGAGGACTAGACGCCAAGTCCTGCGAATCACAGTAGAGTCCGCCAAGGTGGTACGAGGTGCTGGGTACATCGTACATCCTGATCCTGCCTTTCCAGACTCACCTTGCTGGGCCAGTTCCACCACCTTAAAAAGTGAAATAACATCTACGCATTTCAAAAAATGGTTGTTAGGCTTAAGCATTACGATGCATACAAAGCACCTCGCAGAGTAACTAGCTTCTTGGTAAATACTCAGCCGGTCTCCATATGGCCATGTGGCAACTCTCAAGTTTGGCAGCTGTTTGAGGGAATGACTATTATAAAGAGAAACACAAGCTAAAACAGAAAATTGTTAAACAACTGGATGGACAGAATGTGCCAATGCACACTCTTAATATTTATGAGAAACTGTTAGATTAAAAGAGACTCTAAAAATAGAAGGAAAAAAAACCCCTGAAGAACAAAAGACTCATTACCATAACTTCTGCTGGGCAGACTCTTAAACACTGCGAGGAGTTCCGCGTTGTATCCAATGTTCACCTGGAAACGATCTCCATTCCTTTCACATGTTCCCTTCTGGGAGGTTACTGCTTTTTGGAGGGAGGATCCCAATTTCTGTTGTTTTTCTCCTGTCTTGGGCATTACACCACCTGAACCACAGTGGATACCAGAAATGTTCTGCCCCGAGGTGGAAGCTTTTACTGTCTTGACCTCTAGTTTAGCATCCATGGGAGGCTGTCCAGAGGAAGAAGCTGGTATCTCTTGGGAACACTTGGCTTTGGCCAATGGCTTATGAGTAGTGTTAGCAAAGGATGTCAAGTTGATCTCATGTGAAGCCTGAGGATGACCTTGACCTAATTCAAAACCCAAGAGCTGTTGATTAGGGACACTTGGAGGATTTTGTGCCAAAGGAAGGGAGAGCTCAGTGTGAGTCATTTGACTTGGTGGGCTGTGGCCTGGGCAGGCGGTGGACATTTCTTCTTGCCTCTTCCATATCCTCTTTGCCTGGTCTGGTGTGCTGATATGAAAACTGTCGGAATTATGAGGTCTTTGGTCACCAGTAGGTGAACTACTGCTAATCTGTTGCTTGAAAATGATACCATGGCTCGCTGGCTTAGAAGGCCCCTTTGGGAGACTGTGGGAAGGGCCTGGCTTGGCCTGAGGAGAGCTGGCAGCAATGGAAGAGACCGAGCCCGTGCTCTGATGCTGCTCTGCTAGCAACTTCTCAGCTCTTCGGGCCAGAGCCTTTTGTCGGTTCTCTTCAATCTTTTTCCTCTGCTCCTCTGTAAGGGGCAAGGACATTTTAACAGGGAAATGCTTATGCAGGAATGTCACCTTTTAATCGGAAAGTTGGCAAAAGCTGTGGAAGAAAAAAAGAAGACTGAAATCAACACGAAATGTATTTATTTGTCACGCACCTGTGATGATTTTAACTCACTTTTGTCCCAGGAAATGCATAAGGAGCACACCCAAAGGATACATTAAAGTTTTTCTGGTAGTTAGAAAAGGCGGGCATGCACTGAGATAGCAGGTAGCATATGCCAACATAACAATCCTGATGAAAAACCAAAAATTAAATCCAAAGCTAAAAAGTGGCAACATTTTTCCCCTCCCCATCCCCCAGCCGAGGTGAGGTATCAGCTCCCAAGAAAGGTATGTAGTACAACTGAAATAACGAGAAAGGTGATATTTTAAATTTGGAAGGATAATGGATGAGACTAAAGTAGACCAACTAACACATACCATGACGTGACACTTGCTGAAATTGTCTCTGCCCACCTGGAAGAAGGAAAAAAGCATTAGCTTCACAGGGGCTACACACCAAATGCCCCACTAGCAGTCACTCTTTTACTATTCCTGGCAAACCAACCTGTATGTGGCCCAGTGCAAGTCTGAGCAGCTGGCTTTCAGTATCTGACTCCCAAAATATAACACCACAGAACTTTTGAAAAAATAAGGGGGGAAAAAAGCACTGTACAAATTCAGAGGCTACATAAAGATGCTTAAAAAAAGGAATAAAATTCACCTGCAATCTCACCAGTCATCAATAACCACTGTTAATAATTTATTGTATTGTAATTTTTTTGAGTAGCAGTCTCAGCCTGCTGGGCTCAGGTGATCCTTCCACCTCAGCCTTCCAAGTAGCTGGAACCACAGGTGTGCACCACCACATCCAGCTAATTTTTTGATTTACTGTAGAGAAAAGGTCTTGCCAAGTTGCCCAGGCTGTTCTCAAACCCCTGGACTGAGGCAATCCTCTCGCCTCCGCCTCTCAAAGTACTGGGATTTCAGGCGTGAGACACCACACTCGACTACTGTTACTAATTTAGAGTTCAATATTCTGATTTTTTTCTATCCATAACCACATAATATATGCCACATATTTAGGAGACGTTAAATATTATAAAATAGGGTCATTGTATACATGGTTTTGTACTTTTTTTTTTTTTTTAGTTGGGGTCTCACTCTTCTGTCCAGGCTGGGGTGCGATCATGGCTCACCGCAGCCTCAACCTCCTGGGTTCAAGTGATCCTCTCACTTTAGCTCCCGAACAGCTGGGTCTACAGGAGTGTGCCACCACACCCGGCTAATTTCTAAATTTTGGTGGGGGGGGGTCTCACTATGTTGCCCAGGCTGGTCTTGAACTCCTCCAGCGCTGGCTCCCCAAGTGCCAGGATTACAGGCATAAGCCACCGTGCCTGGCCTCCTTAACTATTTTTTCCAATGAATTTACCCTGAACTCTTTTCCTGTGAGCAGAGCCACTTTTACAATATTCTGGGAGCAGGGGGGGGACACCAACTTCTCTGGCTTGACTCAGACGAAATGGCCTTCACCTAATGCAATGCTGGGTATTGCTCATCATGGTGTGCAGGGGGTACTCCAGGAGCACGGTGTGCAGGGGGTACTCCAGGAGCACTGTTCAGGCCTCAGAGACCAGCCACAGGGTTCAAAGGTCTCCTCCTCAGCTAAGGCTCCTTTCCCCTCCACTAGCTCTCTTCAGAGACCTCCCGGCTCCTCCGGCAGTTAGCAAGGGGCTAGGGAAAGGTCTTGGAGGTGCACAGCACAAGCCCTCGCTCTCCCTGGGTAGCTCGCTCCTGCTCACGCCTCCAACCAGGGCTCTCCCCGGGCCCCCAGACGGCCAGGCCCAAGGCCGGCTGAGCGGTCTCCACCCGCCCGGCAAGATGAGGCTAGCGAGGGGGAAGACCCATTGGCCAGCCTCAAGTCAAAGCCACGGCGGCAGACGAACGCTCCCCTTCTTTTTTTTTTTTTTTTTCGCCCGGTCCTCTGCCCCACCTCATTTCGGGGAGCGCCTCATCCCCGGCCCGGAGAGAAGGGGGTGCCACGCCCCTCTCCCACGCCTCTGGTCTCCACTTGGATTCGCCCGTCCCCTGGGCCCGCTCCCTCCTCCAGGCTGGCGCTTGGTCTCGTCCCAGGGTAGCCTTCTCACCCGCCGAGGCCTTGAGCGCGAGCCGCCTTCGCAGCCGATCCCGAGCCCACGCGCTGCCCCGAGCCCTCCCGAGCCGGATGACTCTTGCGGGGTGGACGGTTGGGGCGCAGAGACCCACGCGCCGCGAGTCCTCCCGCCGTGTTGCAGCGCCGGGGCTCGGCGGGCTCGGTCCCCGCCGAACTACACTTCCCAGCGGGCAACGCGGCCCCAGTGGCTCCGGCTTGAAACAGTGGGAGTCACGGGACGAGGCCCGGAGAGGCGCTGCGAGGCCTTCTGGGATTTGTAGTTTGGGCCAGGGCCCTGGCCGGAAAGAAGGGACGCGGCGTCGTGGGCGGGGCGGGAGTCGTGCACCCGGGGTGTTGTCGTTCTCTGCTTCCCCGGGGATTTAGCCGGACGATGGATCCCGAAAACCGATGGTAAGGTTTGCAAAACCGGAATCTCCTTGTCAGAACTGTCTCCAGAGGGCAACCCAGGCAGCCAGACTGACTCGGCAGCTCTTAATAAAAAGCGTCCCCAGGGCCATCCCTTCCAAGCATGTCCACTGATAGCCTTGCAATGTAAGTCCCACCTGTTGCCCACCCCACTCCCTCGTCTTCATTGTCGTCATCAGTCATTGGGCCGAGCGTTCTTATGAATTATCTCATTTAATCCTCACTACAACCTATGGAACACATATTATTATTATTTAACTATATATTGATTTATTTGAGGAGGAGTGTCACGCTGTTGCCCAGGCTGGAGTGCAGTGGCATGCTCACGGCCGCCACAGCTTCGACCTGCTGGGCTCAGGTGATCCTCAGTCTTCCAAGTAGCTGGAATCACAGGTATGTGCCACCATACCCGGCTTATTTTTTGATTTGTTGCGGAACGAGGTCTCGCCAAGTTGCCCACGATGGTCTCGAACCCCTGGACTCAGGCAATCTTCTTGCCTCTGCCTCCCAAAGTGCTGGGATTTACAGGCGTGAGCCACTGTGCCCGGCAGATCACATATTATTTTCATTCCCATTTTACAGGTGGGAGAGCTGAAGCACAGCTATTCGATAATAACTATATCAAGGCTTTATTGGGATAATTTGTGATTCTGATTTCAGAGAGAAAATTCGTAATCTAACACTTTCAGAGTCTGTTTACCCCCTTTCCAAAAACCAACACCCTTCCCCCTCCACAGTGAACTCCACTATTATATGTTGTTAGTAAATATAACATTCCTGTCATAAGTGTACACATGAATGCTGCTATTATTCTATTTTTAAGCATGGCTCATTTAAATGTCCACTGAAGGATTTGGGGAAGTGGCCAAGGCATATTTAGAAAAAGCACAGCAATATGTATAGTTTTATTCATTTTTATAAAAGAAATCCTTAACTATAAGTGCATATAAACGCAAAGAAAAAGAGTTTCTTTTTCTGATAAGGAAACTTGAAAATTCATCAAAGCATTCAGGAGCAGGGTAGGGTGAAAAATTTTTCAACTTTTTAATGTGTTTTTCTGAATTATTTGAATTTTATTATAATAATCATATAGAACTTGAGTGACTTTTCAAATAAATCATTTTTTTTAAATGGCAAAGTCATTGGCCTGTCTTATAAGACTTGAGTGAAGCTTAGTAGCAGAAAGTGTTCAAATCTCAGCTCTACCCCTTTTTTGGGACCTGTAAACACAATGACTGTGCCCCCATTTTCTCATCTGTAAAGACAGAGAACAATATCGCCTTGGTAAATCTGCTTGTTTTAGGAATGAAGCAAGATAATATGGGCTGAAGGGCTTAGTGAACTGTGAGATCCTGAACAGATTAGAGAGGAATGTTGCACTTATCCGAGGCAAATCTTCTAAGGTCTTTCATTTCTCTGTAGCCTGCACTCACTTCTTACTGTAGAGCGTGAACAGAAACTAACTAATGAACACCAGTCCGTCCCTGCCCCTCCTGTCCCCCAACAGTGAGTTAATTTGCCAAGAAAGCTGGGTGCTGTCTGCTTTGTTGATGTCTGTTGCTGATTCATGCAACCATCACTTCACTCTCCTGGGTTTCAGTCATCTCACCTGTAAAATGTTATTCTGCTTTGATAGATGCTTGGTCATCGCTGAACTACACTTCTCAGAGGGCAACAAGGCTACTGTTTCTCCACTTCAAAAAGAGGGAGTAGACCAGGCTTGGGGGCTCAGCCTGTAATCCCAACACTTTGAGAGGCCGAAGCGAGTGGATTGCCTGAGCCCGCAGGTTCGAGACCAGCCCAGGCAACTTGGCGAGACCTTGTCTCTACAATTAAAAAAAAAAAAATTAGCTGGGCATGGTAGTGCATGCCTGTAGTTCTGGCTACCTGGAAAGCTGAGGCGGAAGGATCACTGGTGCCCAGCAGGTCGACACTGGGGTGGCCATGAGTATGCCACTGCACTCCAGCCTAGGTGATGGAGTGAGACTCCAACTCAAACAAAAACAAAAACAAGTGGGAGTGATTGGATCAGAAACCTGAGAAGGCATGTGGACTGGTAGATTCTAATCTTGGATCATAGAATTCTTGTAGATTCATGGATCTTACTCCAGAAATTCAATTTGGTAAGTCTGGGATTGGACTAGAAGAGGTAGTTGCCTTTCTAGTCCTAACATTCTAAAATTCTAAGAAGAGGGAATTAAAATAAGGATTTGATTTTTTAAAAATCATCTTCAGAAAGTAAACTCATCAGATCCCACCCAATAGTCACATCTTTTGTTTTGTCAACAGCATCATTTATTGAAGTTTTACTGTATGCAAGACTTTTTAAAAATTATGTACTTCAAAAGTTCGTAAGGAGCCTTATAATGAAAATTCATTCCTTTAAAAAGTTTAAAGGTCTGGAAGAAAGCACAAGAGCCAAGGAATGAAAGGATAGTTGTAACAGTCAAGCTTTAATTTAACTCTGAGCTTCCTAGGATCTAAAGCAAAAAGTTAAGAAGTCCTTCAACTCAACACAGCACAGCTGACACTCCCAAACACCAGTCAACTGGACAGTGCCAGAACAGCTCGAAGCTTCACTTGGTTGCCTTAGAAACAAACAAAAAAAGGTCAGTGTGGTGAATATTTTGTAAAGCTATATTTTAATAATTAAATATAAAATCCTGAGAGTTTGTTTTATAGTTTGCTTTGCTTTGTTTTGAGTTGGGGTCTCTGTCACTCAGGCTGGAGTGCAGTGGTGCGATCACGGCTCATTTCAGCCTCGACCTCCTGGACTGAGGAGAACCTTCTGCCTCAGTCTCCCCAGTAACTGGAACTATAAGCATGCACCACCAAGCCCTGTTAATTTTTTTTTTCCATAGATGAGTCTTACTATGCTGCCCAGGCTGGTCTCGAACT